ACATTTTTCCGTGAAATGCGTATTTCTCAAGATATTAAGCTGTCTCAAGTTAAAAGAAACACCCTGTATGTATAAATCAAAAAAAAAGTTTACAGTCTCAAGTTAACAGAATTAAAGTGATTTTACATAAAAAATAATATAAATATGGCATATAATATTTTTTGGTATTTTATTTGAAAATATTTGAAATTTTTTATTAGTGTTATTTTTGATCGCTGATATCTTTGAAACGGTTGATCTGAAGAACTTTGACCTTCAGATGTTTTTTGTAGAGCGTGAAATTGTCTATAACTCCTCTCGCTTGGGTGTTGCGAAAACAAACCATTCCAAAGATAAGAATTCAAAATTAAAAAAATTAAATTCCCGTGTTATTGAAATGGAAAAACAACAAATGAATTGAGGCAAACCTTAATATTAATATTAAGGGCTCAAATAGGCGCCAACATTTTTGTTTTAAATGTACTATTAATTTTTCAACACCCTAGTATATATATTAGTGCTCTACAATTTAGCCGGTTAAGCTGGCCAAAAAAGTTACCTAAGTTAATTAGCTAGCTAACTGATCAGCTAAGCTAATTTAACCGGTTAACTAATTTAGCTTGGCATTAGCTGGCGGCTTAACCGGTTAATCTTGCTTAGCTTAGCTAATGAGCTAAAGGCTAACCAGCTAAACGGCTACTTTTTTAAGCTATTTAATGATTTATTTATTCACGGACATGTTCAAAAAATAATATTAATGTTTTTAATTAAAAAAAACGACGTTAATAATGTCTATTATATAATAGTATCTAAAAATCTTATTATAATGTATACAGGGTGTCCCAGAATATGTGGGCAATCTCCCGGATTAATTATAAAAAAACGACGGTAATAATGTCTATTATATAATAGTATCTATAAATCTTATTATAATGTATACAGGGTGTCCCAGAATATGTGGGCAATCTCCAGGATTCAAATAAAACACATAAAAATAATATGACAAGTTCCTAATTTCTATTTCCTACGGTCCCCTCTACGGAGATAAGGGCCCATAACGGACGCCCCTGAAATAGTTTGTTTTTAAATAACTTGTGCTAGGTGGAATTTAATATTTTTTAATATGTTGGTAACTAAAAAAGTTTCCTTAAAATGGGCACTTTTAAATTACATTCGGCTTATTTTGTTTGCCAGAGACGGACTAGCTTTAACAGAGTAATGCTATTTTTTTAACACAAGGCACAACAATAATATTTTTGGTCAGCTTAAACCTTAAACTAAAAAAAGGTACTCTTTATCGACATCGATATAGTAACTTGTCATATTTTTTTATGTGTTCTATCTAAATCCGTGTGTTTGTCCACATATTTTGGGACACCCTGTATATAAATAATAAATAAATATGTAAATAATAATTTCTACTAAATAATAATCAAATTGTTAACGAAAAAGCGGTTTTAATACATGATTTAAATTACTCGCGCTTTTTGATTTGTCAATGTCGACGTTTATTCGTAAAAAGTTCCCAGTAAGCACCAAACACTCGGCAAACAGTCGGCCTTCTGTCGGCATAGGCGGTTCGGCTTGCCCCCAGTCGTTCCGCTTATGGCCCGCGTTATGTTAGCCCGGTACCGTTTGGCCATGTTCTAACCAAAGTCGGCCAGAATACGGCATGCCGCTGCTAAATCGTTCGGCTTACCCTGCTCAGTAACGAATAATGGCTAGCTATAGTCGAGTGTGTTAAACCTATAGGATATACCTATCCAGGACGTCTGAAGGCTTTTTTTGAATTGCCAGGCTATTGTGTCCGGCACTCGGCCAACTATACACAGCCGACACTCGGCCGAGTAAACACAGCCGACATTCGGCCAGGCGGACATGCCCGGTCTACACGCCGGAACAAATACATGTGTCGGGTTTTTATGCGCTGGGTATTTTTCTTGTAAAATTACCATTTTCATATTTTACAAAAGTTTTATATTTCTCATACATTTAAAAACTGCAATTCAACGATTTAATTGAATATTATATACATAAATTGCTACAAAACAAAAATCCAAGATAGCCATGCTATATTCAAACAAACGTTAAACAACAAATTAAAATAAAGTCAATTTAATTGAATATTTAAAAATGTCATCACTATGAAATCACTTTACACTAGTTACAAGTGGTATTGCCAGATGTAAATATTGTCCAATTGAGTACAATATAAAAAAGACAACATCATCACTTAGATACCATTTAAAGAATAAGCATAATGACAAAGTCCAATCAGTGACATTAAATGAAAAAACGGAATCTGATTCATGGTAAGTTTTATTTTTTTTATTTTCTACTATTTTTTTTATTTTGTACGGAATTATTTCTGTTGATCGAATTTAATATTTCTTTGGAAACAAAAATATAAATTTTTTTCAATTTTTATTAATATAATAAATTAATTTATAATTATAAATTATAATTAATGTTGATGATGCATCAAGCTCAGATACACAGGAAAATCAAAAGAAACGGCGCTTATCAAAGGAATATTACAGCCGTAAAGTAGGTATTTAATTTTTTAAGAAAATTAAAAATTTTTCAAAAAAGTTACTTTACATTTAAAAAGTTATTTTACATTTAAATACATTTCTATCGATTCTATCGTTAATATATTTTTTTTAAATTTTTCTGTTTTTTTAGAATCCTAAGGCAGAAGCAATCACCATGTCACTTGTAAAATATATAGCAATAGATATGTTACCGTTAGAAGGTCCAGGATTCATACAATTCATTAAAGCCCTTTGTCCTGAATAAAACGGTCATAAAAAGTAGCTTAGAAGTCTTATATGAATCAGTGCCTAACGATATACTGGCAACTTTTCGTCATTTTCCTGTTGTGTCGATTACGACGGTTGCTTGGTCATCATCTCGTTCTCTAAACTCGTTCGTTACTATCACAGTATATGCCATAGACGAGTTATGGAATTTACTTTCTGTAACTTTAGACACATTAGAAATGACTGAAAGTCACTCGGCAGAAAATATTTATAATCATTTATGCAATGCTTTATCAGAGTGGAATATTGCTAAAAAAACAATTGCTGTGTTACATGATAATGCTGATATCAAAATTGGTCAAAGTGTTCGTTGTTTTTGCCACTCGTTGCAGATTGTTGTTGAAAAAGCTTTCACATCTTCAAAATGTTTCCGCAATCGTTGGCCACTTTAAGCATTCATATAAAGCAATTAACAAACGCTCTCAAAGATGCTCAGAAATTACATAATTTGCCTGACCATTGTTTAATTAGTTACTGCGTAACGCGTTGGAATACAGCTTACGCCATGATTGAACAGCTATTAGAACAACGCCAAGCTGTTGAAAGTGTATTGCTGAATCCTGAATTTACAAATACAGCAATGTCTAAAAAATTGCTTTCCAGCAATTTAGAATGGAATTATTTAAAAGCTCTTGTCATAATATTAAAACCATATGAAGTAGCAACAACATTAATGTCCAGTCAATCTGAGTCAACAATTGGAATGGTCCGCCACTTATTTATTCGATGATAGATAAATTTTTAAAACATGATGATACGAACGACTTTACAAAAATTCGATTACTTAAACAAGTATTTCAAGAAGAATGGGTAGCCCGGGTTTTAATCGAAGACTGCGATTCCGTGTGTGCATTAGCCTGGTTTTTGGATTATTTATTATTCAATACATTTATACAATGATAAAAAAAATAGCTTAATTCAAGAGAAAAAATCTTAAACCAAGAAAATCATTTAAAAAAATTTAATTATCTTAAATTTACTTTTGTTTTAAATATATTTTAGATACAAGAATATGGGTGATGAAACTCAAGAGTATCGAGACTCTGTTCAAGAAAAACTTTTAAAGATTATGGTAGTTGCCAATAAAAACAAAAGAGAGAAGGACTTGAATTATCTTTTCAATTGTGAGGTAGCCTTACCTCAAAGTTTTGGGAGAATGGTAAGCTTTGAAAGTGATAATCTAAATTATCAGAGTGACATACACAAAATAGAAATCGATAGCTTCAAAATGGAGCCAAATATTCCTCTTGTTCATAATCCCCTTCATTGGTGGCATTCGAAAAGCCATAAGTTTCCTCAACTGGCAAGATTGGCAAGAAGATTTTTAGCTGTTCCAGCATCAAGTACACCCTCTGAAAGGGTTTTTTCCTCAGCCGGAAATTATAAGCTCTAAACGGAACTGCTTACTTCCCGAAAATGCAAATTTATTAATTTTCCTTTACCAAAATAGAGATTTAACTGAAAAAAAATTTAACAATTAATTTAAAAGCCATTTTTATAAATAAAATGTAAAATATTATTTAAGCTAATAAATTACTCTATTATTGTCATTATTGTCATAAAATCAACATCAATATTATTATTTTTTTAACCTGTCCGTGAATAAGAAATCATTATATAGCTTAAAAAAATTAGCCGTTTAGCCGGTAGCTAATTAGCTGAGCTAAGCTAAATTAACCGGTTAAGCCGCCAGCTAATTAGCTAAGCTAATTTAGTTAATCGGTTAAATTAGCTAAGCTGATCAGTGAGCTAGCTAATTAACTTAGCAAACTTTTTTAGCCGGCTTAACCGGCGAAATTGTACAGCACTAATATATATATAGGTATACCTCTAATAAATCAGTTGGGTGATCACCTTGTGTACATTATATAATATAAAGGATCTTTACCTCACTGCTCAAAGCTTATTTTTCGCACTATAACATGTTTTACATATTTTACCACCTGGTTAACTTTTCTACAACCTTTCGGTAACACCCTGTATACATATATTAAACCCACCATATTTTGGGACACTTTCGAAACCCCAAGTTATAGCACAAAATTAATTAATCAATCGAATGTATACTTAAACTGACACTCCAAAAACAGTCTTTAACGCCCTCTAGAGGCTAAAAGAATCATATTTAAATATACATGCACATGTAGGTTATTTTAAACCAAGACACGCTTTATAAGAAAAATAATAAATTAAGCTTACTTCCATCTTTTAATATAAATAATAGGTTCCAAAGAACATCCAGCTTCAGTAAGGGCATTTTCGTATTTCCTTAAGTCCACATCATTTAAATGTGTAGTGCAAATGTAGTAAATAACAAACAATCTTATTTTATCATCTGGTGTACCAGCATCTGGATCCATAATAATATCCATTAATTGTTTTTCAAGGGCCTGAGCCTTTGACATTATTTTTTCTTCCAATTCAAAAAATGTATCCAGCTTTCTGCACTTTATATAGTTTAAAATTGCTAAAAAAATATCATAAAATCCCAAATAAGTTTATTTTACCTGTAGATCTAACCCGTTGCTACTGAAGTATGCATATCAATAAGCCTTTTTTTCTCTAACAATTGAGGCAAGGAATTTACAGCATTGGTAATTTTTGCGGTATTGTCACTAACCATGGACATTGCAATATCACTTTCACCATCTATACCCATGGAACTTTTTAATTTCTTTACTTCTTCCTCAGAAGATCTGTATTGTTCCAGTTCTTCCTGGATGCTTTCGGCCACAGTCGGAAACGGAGATCCCTTATGTGTCATCCAAAATGTATCTTTTGAGTCTAGTTCGCATGACTTATTTTTAGATCTCACACCACCACTGGATTCGGTTTCTTCAATAACAACTCTGTTTAATGTTAAATTTAATAAATCATGAGCTAATGCTTGGTAGGTCCATGTGTGATGAAGTGGTGTTGCCATATCAATGTTTCTGTCTGCAATCCATAGAATAAATTAATAACCTGGGTAAAAATGATTTTATATAATTATATAATATATACAATTATAATTATATAGAATTATAAATGATTTATATATAATTCAAAAAATTCCCTCGAAAATTCCATATAAAATTATTATTATTATTAATAAAACAAAATTATGGATTTATATATAATATTAAGGCTCTATTAATATATTTATATTAATATATTTATATATAACATATTATGTTCTGCTTTAGGTTTCCACGGGCGTTATATGTATTAATGGTTTTCCGGGATCTGCTCCGTGTTGTCGGTTTTTGGTTCTTAAAAGAACCGTATGTCTGACGAAGTTTCGGTACAATCTCATGTACCATCTTCAGATCTTATCTGCTGAGCTGCTGTTGCTGCTCTGCTGCGAGTTAGACGTAGATAAGATAAGATCTGAAGATGGTACATGAGATTGTACCGAAACTTCGTCAGACATACGGTTCTTTTAAGAACCAAAAACCGACAACACGGAGCAGATCCCGGAAAACCATTAATACATACATATATATATATATATATATATATATATATACATGCACGGCTATCAATGCGAAGCCCGGTGCATTACACTGGCTAGTCGAAGCCCGGTAATGCGGGACGGGGCGGTTAACTGTTCGTTGGTGCATAAACAACAAGAAACACATCAGAAGCCCTGCGGTGTTGCCAATGTCTAAATTTATAATTATAGGCAAATTTGATTTAAAATACCTAGACTATACCTAAACTTAACCTATATTTTTAAATAATGACGTGGGTATACTTAAATATTTAATAATATTGTTGAATTATAATTATTATAATAAAAATTATTATAATAATAATTATTATTAAATTAATTATAAGTCATTATTTAAAAATATTGTCTAAATTTATAATTATAGGCAAATTTGATTTAAAATACCTAGACGATACTTAAACTTAACAATATTCTTAAATAATGACGAAGGTACCTATACTTAAATATTTAATAATATTGTTGAATTATAATTATTATTATAATAATAATTATAATTATTATAATAATAATAATTATAATTTAACGATAATTATTATCGTTAAATTATAATTATTTATATTATAATAATTTAAAAGTATTGTTGAATTTAGGTACCTATAGGTATAAACATTTAATTTATTTTGTTTATCATAATTTTGAAAAGGTTTAAATATCTTATACAGTTTTTGTTTAAAAGTTAATCCTTTTGTTTAAAAGTTAATCCTTTAAAAAATATATTTCCAAATGTTAATAAAAAATATACAAATATATCAATAATTATAATTATTATAAGAATTATTGTTGAGGTTAGGTAATTTTGTGTAAAACTTAAATGGGAATCAAAAGAAGTGAAACTGAACTTTAAAATTATTAGATTTAAATACACCAAAAATTCTAAAAAATCTAAATAATGACGTATACTTTAATACACTGCCCGACAAAATTATCGCATAATAAATATAAAAAAATTAACTCTAAAACGCCTTTACCAATCTTTATGAAATTTTGGATAAAAATACTTCAACTTATATCTCAATTTACGTGTTAGAGGGTTTTTCGAGAAAATATGTTTACAGCCTTTTTATTTAATAATGAAAAAAAGTTCGAAATATAACTTTTAGGGAATTTTTTTAAATAAATAAAAAATATGCTGTTAAAGAGCGTATTTTTTTTAGTACACCCTGATAATTTTGTACAAATCAAAGGAACATTAACGAAGATACAGCGCTTCAAAGTCGGTAAAAATGACGCCTTTTTGATTATTTTGCTGAAATGTGGTCATTTCTCACGACTTTGAAGCGCTGTATCTTCGTTACTGTTCGCTTGATTTGTACAAAATTATCAGGGTGTACTAAAAAAAATACGCTCTTTAACAGCATATTTTTTATTTATTTAAAAAAATTCCCTAAAAGTTATATTTCGAACTTTTTTTCATTATTAAATAAAAAGGCTGTAAACATATTTTCTCGAAAAACCCTCTTCAGGGTATACTAAAAAAAATACGCTCTTTAACAGCATATTTTTTATTTAAAAAAAAATCCCTAGAAGTGATTATTCGAACTTATTTTCATTATTAAATAAAAAGGCTTTAAACATATTTTCTCGAAAAACCCTTGAACACGTAAATTGAGATATAAGTTGAAGTATTTTTATCCAAAATTTTATAAAAACTGTTATATTATTGAATGAATTATAAGTCATTATTTAAAAATAATGACTAAATTTATAATTATAGGCAAATTTGATTTAAAAAACCTAGACCAAGTTGAGGAGCATCCGTGGAAAACCGGCTATATCCATTTTAATAAATGTTGGGAAAATTTAGGAAAACTAAACCAAATTAAAAGTAGAAAAATAAAAAAAAGAAGTGGGGAAAATTGCTATTTAGTTTAGCACCCTATAAACAAGAAAAATGTATTACCAACCAAATATTGTTTTATAGCTACATTATAAAGTTAAAGCTGCCTTTTATCCAATAAAAATCGTAGATAAAATATTACTTTGACCAAAACGGTTGATAAAATAATATTGTAATGGTAAGTATAAATGGACAATCCTTATCTAAAAGGAACCAAGCGCCTAAAAACTATTTTTGGACTTAACAAATTTTTTTGTAAAATAACTCATTTTTAATAATGCTCAAAAAGTTTATCATTATTTAGAACTTCTTTTAAATTATTGAGAGGACTTTCAAATTATAATTAAGTTTTTGAGCAGCATTAAAAATGAGTTAGGTATATACAAATAAGTTTGTTAAGCTCCTAACAAGTTTTTGGTTCCTTTTAGATAAGCACTATCCAAATAAAGAACCCAATTTCTTATTGTTGTTTGGTCGTTGTTTGCCATGTATAAATAAATTGACCAGTTGTGAATGTTAATTGACAAATTGCCCTGAGAAGCTATCTGTCAAAAAGCAGTTTTTTCAATTCAATGTTACATTAAAATGATATTTAATAAAAATAATTTTTAATTTATTTCATACCGCTATTGGAAATTTTTTTAATAAATCAAAAATTATTTTTATTAAAATTGGAAATGTTTCAAATAAATTAAAAATTATTTTTATTTAAATTATTTAAATGTAACATTGAATAATAATAATAATAATATATACAAATACCCTTGTTTCCCCAATTAAAACTATGTAAAATATCTGGACAACTTGTAAAACCGCCCCAAAGAAAAATGCACTCCAAATAATATTTCAAAAATAAATAATTCTTTAAAATTAAGTGTATTACGAAAGTATTTAACAAAACATTGCCTTTTAATCCACGCCATGTATTGAACAAAACGTAATTTTGGGAATATAACATTTATTTTGAAAATCAGTAGATACAAATTTAAGAATCCCGCATTATTTTCCCCGCCTTCCTATCAAAAAGTCATTGTGCGTATAGTCCCCATTGTTGCCAGATGTAAGGGCTTCGTATACTGCGTAATACTTATACAAAGCTGTATATAATCTCGTTTGACTCGTGTGCCCCCTACCGCCAAAGCATTGGAACTAAGGGTGTATATCTTGATAGGTTTGAATGGCATTAGGAAGCCCACCACTTTTTCGCCATTGAAACAAGGGGGCATCACTTAACTCTAAAACAAATTTATACACGCTAATTTTAGGAAGCCCGATTTCGGGCTTCGTAAAAACCGAGTGGGCTTCGTTTATACTGTAGAATGTAACGTTTCGGGCTTGGTAATGTAGGATTGCATATCTATATATATATATATATATGTATATAAATTTAGTTTTTTTCAAGGACTATTTTAATTTTTTTTTACCCCTTACCCTTTCTGTGGGTAAAAGGCATAAGGAGATAAGTCAAAAAACGCAATTTTTCAATAGAGCCTTTAGCGTGTTCGCATTAATTTAGGAAATATATTTATGTTTAGCGGGTATACGCTTTTGTTAGCATATGATATGGGCTAACAAAAGGGCTAACCATAAATATGTTTCCTGAATTAATGCGAATACGTTAAGGCTCTACTGAAAAATTGCTTTTTTTGACTTATCCCCTTATGCCTTTTACCCACAGCTTTTACAGAATGACGTGACTGTCAATTTTTTTAAATGGCAACCCCCATTTTTTTTAGAAATGGAGAGACCATCAAAAATGCATATTCAGTATGTTTAGACTTATAATTTTTGAAATAATAATATTTTTCATCGACAAGAATCAGTGTGTGTGTGTCACAAGTTGATACAAATGTGCAGAATTTTAAATTACCGGAGAGTGTCTAGAGCTGAAATTTTGTTTAGTCCCACTGAGGCAATGTGAATTTTCAAAACAAAACTTAATTTTGCTACATAACCAATATTTTTATTTATAGAAACAACATCTATTAGGAAAATAATTTAAATGTTTAGCCTCTTAAATGCTAAAAATGTCTAGCATTATTTTGACTACACATTTGCAATCTCTCCATAAAAGACCGCCTTACATTTCCAAATACTTCATTTCCTACTTCTCTCATTGCTGCCGGGATTCTGGCTCTCAGATCGTCTAAGTTATTTGGCCGTTCCTGGTACACTTTGTCTTCCATATGACCCCAAAGAAAAAAATCACGGGGTTAAGTCAGGTGACCTTGGTGGCCACTCTATCTGCCCTCTATGTCCAATTCACCTTTCCGCAAATAATTCGTCCAAATATTCTCTCACTACTCGTCCAAAATGAAGGGGTGCACCATCCTGTTGAAACCAAATAGCATATATGCATAACTTCGCAAAATTGTAGCCTCCTATTAAAGTCATTTTCAATCAATTCTTGTAACAGGTGGAGTTTGTAAGGGTGAAATTTTTCTTTTTTCTTTAATTCTACCAACTGACCTTCTTGAAATACTATGGTTTTGTGCAAGGTAGCTGCTGCATGTTCTTGGAGCATTTTCTATTTCTAACAAAACATTCAATGCCAAATTTTCGTTGGTGGCTGTTTTGGATCGGCCTGATTTTTTTGGGTTTTTCACA